GGGTCAGAGGGTTGGACCGTTCTAGAGCGGGAGTCCTTGCTGGGAGAGCCTGGTGGATGGGACCAGCGGAGGGGGCAGAGCGCCGGCCGGGAGACTCACTCTTGGGCTTTGAGCTTGCTCAGTGTCCTCTGCCAAGTAGGAGCAGACATTGATGTCACAGCCTTCGATGGATGCTCAAGAGGGATAAGGTGGGCCCGAGTGCTGAACAGACTGCCCAGAGGCCATGGGGGCGGGCTGGGGAGGAGGGGTCAGCACAGGGCTGTGAGGCACTCCCCTGAGCATTGGCTAGGTCCTCCTGTATGCGGGGGACGCGCTGCCGAGCTGATGGGACATGGATCCCGGCCTTCGGAGGGCTGAGCCTTTTGGTCTGGTGGGGAGAAGGTGTGAAATATGTTGGGAAGATGAAGATCTTTACTTTCCCAGAGCATCGGTTTTCTGCATGTTTGAGGAGGAGCACGTCCTGCGGAAGCCTTTGTAAAGGGATTGGTGGAATGATTTCTTCTCTCTGTGGGTGTTTGTCTCAGGATGTAGTGGCTACACGTGGGGCTGCAGCATCTGACCTGCGTCACTGGAGTCTCCATGGCCACGGTAGGATGTGGGGATATTCGGGTCACGCACTAGTTGGAGTCGGGCACACCTGTTAGGGCGTTTGCTCTCCATGCTCGAGGAGCATGCTGTGGGGACATGATGGGCTTTGGAGCCTCCCTTGGCCTCTGCAAGCATCAGCCCCCCCCATCCCTCCCCACCCCCGCAGGATCCTGTGCTTGTCACCAGGCTACTCCCGCTGTAGATAATTTCGTTAGAAAGCTTTGTCAAGTGAAAAGGACTGTGTAAATTCACTTCCTGTGGAAACAAGGCTGGTGGGAGGCTTTTCCTGCCAATGAAACTAGGCCTGGGCAAGGGTCAGGGAAGGCCTCACTGTGGAGGTGCTACCTGTGTTCAGATAGTGAAATAGATGGGAAAGCGGCCAGGAACATCAGCGGAAAGAGTTCCACTAGGGAAGATCCGGGGCAGAGGCCCAGGGGTGCTGGGTGGGGGGTCAGACCTGTACGTGGCTGGCAGTGAGAGGAAGGACAGGTGAGCCGAGACATGCGGGGTCTGGCGGGTCCCGTGGAGGCCGGGCTCCCTCCCAGGTGCCTTCCAGCGGGGTCCAGGATGTTAGAATTACGCACTTAAGTCTTGATTTGAATGTTTACTTTCTTACCTTGGAAGAGTAACCGGCAGGAAAAAACAGACATTTGGTCTTGGGGAATGTGAAGGCTCGTTGGAGAGGCAGAGCCTTGAAGAGCCAGTGATAGGTGGGTTTGTGGCCGACGTGATGAGGGGGCTGTCATGGAGGCTGACTGCTGAGGGTCGTGTGTTTTGGGGCAGTGCCCTGCAGTGGATGAACTGGTAGATGGGAGGGGCACAGGAATCGGGGAGCAGTTGTGAGGCCTGGCTCAGATCGTGCCTCCGTTCCTGCCAGGCTCAGCCCTTTGGCACCTGGGATTCTGCATTCTGGGTCTTACAGAGCTGTTTACTGCAGGGCTGACAGCCATTCCCACCAGTAACATTTAAACTCTTTCCCTTTTCTCTAGCGCCCTGTGAGCTTCAGGAGGCTTATTTAAAAAGCAGCGCCAACTAGCCTGGGCCCAGACTGTCCAGGTGGCCTTCGACCGCGGGGCCAGGAGTGCTCTGCAACCGCTGTGCGGGGGCTGTGTTGCCACCTTGTACACGCAGGAGAGGGGGCCAAGGAGGACAGGATGTGGGGCGGCCAGCAAGTGCCTGGGGCAGCGGGGACATGCTTTATGTTTATTTTTGTAAGTGCCACGCACTAAGAGAAATCTGAGAAACCACAGATGGGACTAAGACCCCACCACGAAAACCAAATCGTGGCGAACATCTTGGAAGGTTTTCTTCCCATTTTGAGCTTCTGCTGTTTCTGGGCCGGCTCGATTGTGTGGTGTGCTGCGGTTCTGCGCTGCGCAGTGCGGTTCTACACTGCACGGTGTGGTTCTGCGCTGCCCACCGCAGTTCTGTGCTGTGCGCAGTTTTGGCTCTCGGAGCAACTTCTTGTTTTCTTACATGTTCTTTCTGGGCACACAGGTGCTTTTTTAAAAAAAGTCTTAAATAAAAATGTGTCATAGAATTTCTCAATACACAGAACGAAACCTTGTGGAATTGTGAGCTATATAAAAGGCCACAGAAGGCCAGGCGTGGTGGCTCACACCTGTAATCCCAGCAGTTTGGGAGGCCAAGATGGGCAAATCATGAGGTCAAGAAATCGAGACCATCCTGGCCAATATGGTGAAACCCTATCTCTACTGAAAATACAAAAATTAGCTGGGCATGGTGGCGTGCACCTGTAGTCCCAGCTACTCGGGAGGCTGAGGCAGCAGAATCCTTTGAACCCAGGAGGCGGAGGTTGCAGTGAGCCAAGATCGTGCCACTGCACTTCAGCCTGGGTGACAGAATGAGACTACGTCTCAAAAAAAAAAAAAAGCCCACAGAAATGAGACACTTTGCCAGGATGCATGGGCTGAGGAGCCGAGGCTGTGGGGGCCTCCCGGGAGCAGCCAACTGCGGGGCTGCTGGAAACGCCTTCTGTTTCCATGTCCTCTGCCGTCTCCTCGATGATTGGATGAGAGCATTCATGTTCTTTCTCAGTTCCATGTAGCCTGAGACTTCAGGAAAAGTGTGGCCAGGGTGCAGGGGAGCTCGTGGGGCTTTTTCCCTCATCTGTTTAAAGCGGCCTGGAAACATGAATTGGTTTCACTTAGCCAGTGTGGCTGGGAGTGATATTTGGTCATTGTTTCTGAAAGATATTTCGTTTGTTTGTTTTGTTTTTAATTACAGAGAGAAAAGACCAGTATCTTAAAGCTGTGGTATAGTATGTATCTGAACCACCAACACACACAAGCCTTTGTGATTTGTACAGCATCTGGTGATGTTTTCTGTCTCTTCCAGGCATGCTTTTAACAGAACTCTGAGTTTGAGATCATAGCTTGTTCTCAGAGACTTCTTACTCTTTTTACATGATAGTCCAATCATTGCTTTAGACAGTGGTCAGAATCAGAATATAAGGCAATAGAGAGCCTCATCAGTATCTCAGTGACAGGCAGATATACGTTCCCATTCAGAAATCGCTGGACTCCCAGTTGCAAGGCTGTGCCAGAGCAGTGCCACGTGTGGCTGGCTCCATTCCTCCAAGCAGGTCTGTTTGCGGGGCACCTGGGTCTCACCTCTTCTCCCCACGGCACAGTGTGTCCTGCCGCTCTGCCAGCCAGCTCTGCCAAGGCCTCCAGGCTCCAGGACAGCCAGCGCCTGTCCCTTGCCCCATTGATGCCCCCTTAGGCTGTCCCCGGAAGCCCCAGGGCCTGGAAGGACCCCTACCAGGTGAGGAGCCAGGGACTGTTGGTGAATCGTTGGCAGTACAATTTTTACATCCCAGAGAAAGAACATAAACCTTTTAAAAAGAAAACCTCCTTGGTCACCTTGGGAAACCATGACTTTGACACTGGTGACTGGCGTGAGCCATGCCCTCTGCTTTCTCATGTGAGTCATATCTCTGGGTGGCAGTGAGGGCAGGTCTCTCTTTACAGAAGTGTCCCAGCTTATCATGAGCAAACAGGAGGAGTGGGAGATGACACACCACCATTTTGCTGCAGCCCTGGTGCATTAATGCATTTAGGTCATGATCACGAAGGAGAGAGGTGTCGCTCGCCTCTGAGCGGAAGCACGCCCTACTACCTACAAAGTAATCTCACCAAAAAATCTAGATCTCGGTACCGTGTTACAGAGAATCCAGGCATCCGGGGTGCTGTTGGCCAAACCCAGAGAAGGAAGGTACCAGGACCCGCTAGCAGCAACCAGCAAGCCTTGCTGGGATCTGGATTCAAACAAACTTTAAACAAATGGGGTCTTTTTTTTTTTTAAGACAGAGTCTCCCCCGGTCGCCCAGGCTGGAGTGCAGTGATATGATCACGGCTCACTGCAGCCTCTGCCTTCTGGACTCAAGTGATCTTCCCACCTCAGCCTCCCGAGTAGTTGGGACCACAGATGTGCGCCACCAATGCCTAGCTAATTTTTTGTATTTTTTTTAGAGACAGGGTTTTACCATGTTGCCCAGGCTGGTCTCAAACTCCTGAGCTTAAGCGATCTGCCTGCCTCAGCCTCCCAAAGTGCTGGGATTATAGGTGCAAGCCACTGTGCCCAGTGGAGAGTCTTCATCTTTCAGAGGCACAGCTGGGTGGATTCTGTGAGGAAATAGTGTGCCCTGAGATTTGCTCTGGGACAGGTCTGGAAGTGGGTGGAGACTTGGCAAAACAGGGTTCACCTAGAGCTGATAATTACTGATCCAAGAGGTGGGACGTGTGGGGCTTGTTATATTTTTATCTCTATTTTGTTTACGTGTTAGAAACTTTCCATAGTAAACACTTCATCTAGAGATAGGAACAAAAACATGTAAATATGGCTCCTTTTAGCCCCCCAAAATGGCACAGGTGTCCAGGGTTTGTGGGCAGACCTTGGGGTGGTGTTGAAACTGCTTCCTGTGTGCCTGTAGAGGCATCCTTCCTGCAGAGACCCTGGTCAGATGCTGCCCATGCCTGCTCATTGGAGTGAGAACATGGGAACGTTCTCGCCATACAGCCTGGGCCACATCCAATTAATCTGCACGTGCTTGCTGTCCTGTGAAGTACTGGCGGCTGACAACTGCTTCTGTCACCGTCCATCAGGGTGTGGTTTAATTAGGGACCACAGCCTCATCCCTGCTCCATGACGTGCACGTTCAGCACAAGTCCGCTTGTTCTGTGATCATCTGTGGGAGGAGAGGCACCATGCTGCTGGTGGAAATCCTCTTCCTAGCTCCACACAGACACTGTGGAGAGGGCCTGACTGATGACCTAAAAGGGCTGGGGGCTGGTCTTTCAGGGGCGGCAGCCTGGAGTGGGCCTGCTGGGTCCTGGGCTTCATGGGAGTCCAGTGCCCGCCACACTGAAGGTCGTGCTCCTGCATTTTAGACTGGGCTAGCGCCATCCGCGTCGCCGCTCTTGACTGCATGGAAGACAAGAACCAGGCCGTGTGCCATGACTACGACATCCACTTCTACCCCACCTTCCGGGTGAGTACCGTGGGGGCTCTGTTAAAATTTGCCACACTGTGGTGCCTGCGTTTTGGCTGCTCTGGCTTTTGCTGCCTGAAACTCAGCAGGATTTGAAGGAGCTGATGTTTGCGGGGGCAGCTCTCGTTCACCTTGTTGTGTGGTGGAAGTGTCTGTGGGACTGTCCATGCACACATAGCCCTGCTCACATGGAGGGTGCGTGAAAAGACCCCTGCAGCCTGCACAGCCCTAGGGCATGAGGACGCTGGGAGTGTGAGGGCTGGCACTCTGGCCTGAGGCCACACATGCGGTCTGTGTACCACGGGGCTCCTCGGTGGACCACACACACATACTCTCACACATGCACACTCACACGCACCCATATGCATTCACACATTGCTCATGCACTCACACACTCACACCGGCCACGCACACACGGCCTCTGCGTTCCTGAGCTGAGGTCAGCCTACATATGACGCTGTGCCTATTGCTCCCACTAGGGGGCAGAGGTGCCTGTGACCTTGTCATGGCCGGTGCAGAGCTCACATGTACACACTGGCACCGCCACCTCCTGTACACCTGGATACGGACATCTCCAGGAATGTGGTGCCTTGGGCCCACTTCGCAGGAAGCTTTGTGACCCGTCCTTCTCAGCCCTGGCACCCTGCTGTGTGGTGTGGTGTCACGTCACAGTGGCTTCCTTGCTTCCTGGGCTACTGTTTTCACTGTGCTGGTAGCGCCTGTGGTCCTGCCCCGACAGGTGGCACGCTGGGCTGCCCAGTGTCAGCCCCACCCCAGGGCCTCTCGGGGCCTGTGAGGCACACTTGCTTGCCTGCCCCCAGCGTGTGATCACATCAGAATGGCTTCCTATTTTGTTTTAGCTTCAGACACAGGCCACACTGCTGTGTGGAAGCTTCTGGGCCTTCTTTCCGTTACTTAAGGGGATGTCCGTATCCACCATGATGCCCATTGGCTGATTGGATGGGATTGTCCGGTGGCGTCACTCTGAGGACCAGAACCCCTCGTTGCCAGGCGCATGGGCTTTTCCAAGCTTTGGTGGCTTTGAACTGCCCTGCTGTGTGCATTCCCCGGGTGTGGGAAGAGCTGAGGCTGGAAGAGAACCCCTGGGCCTCGCGCCAGGCCTGTGCTCGCCCACAGAACAGAAGCACTGGCGACTTTGTTTACATTTCCCCGGCGGCCGTGGTGCCTGCACAGCTGGCTTTGTGGGCCATGGGTGTCACTGTGTGAAGTGTCCGTTCATGTGGGTGTCACCGTGTGAAGTGTCCGTGCATGTGGGTGTCACCGTGGGAAGTGTCCATGCCTGTGGGTGCCACTGTGGGGAGTGTCTGTGCCTGTCATCTCTCTGTTTCCCTCTTGGTTCGAGTGTGCTTCTCTTACTGATTTCATCCCCGCCCATCCTGTAACCTTGTCTTGTCATTGTCTGTAATGTGCCTTTGATGCAGAAGGTTTTTAATTTTAACACAAGAACCCTTTTCATCCACTCAGAGGTACTGCATGGTGTCTCCTCGTCCTGTAAATTCTTTGTGTCGTTGCAGCTGATGTTATAGCTCACCGTTAGGGACACACTCACTACCCAGTCCCAGAGAGCAGTGTCCTGTATGATTCCGGCCCAACTGAATTGTGTGACTTCTAGCCCTTCTGGGTCAGAAAATGTAAATGATGGGAATGCTGTTTGGAAATCAGCCCTTTCGTAAATCTGATAGGAAACGCTCATATGCACAGAGATGTGGAGAAAGAAGCCTGTGGTTTCATCAGTTTATGAAAACTTTCTGAAGGAAATTGAGTAAAGCTCTGAGGTGACAGTCACTTTGTTGCTTGGACAAATGTGCAGATGCCCAGGGGGCTGCCTCTTACTTGGCTCTCTGTTTTTCCTCTTAGTATTTTAAAGCATTTACAAAGGAGTTTACAACGGGAGAAACTTTTAAAGGTAAGGACAAAAGCATTTATTTTAATTCCTGAGATTCCCCTCTGGAACCTGCTGAAGACACACGGTCCCAGAGCCTGGGGAGCTGCCAGCCGGGTCAGCACCTTTGCCTCTGCTGACCTTTCTCCCGGTTTTCTCTTAAGAGTTCAAACATTAATAGCTTCAAAGAGAAGTTTTCATGCTATGCTTTGCCTTGCCTGGCAAATATAGTAGTAAAAACTTTTTCAGAATGAATTTGTTCTTGTAAAAATATTTGGAGACATGCACAGATCATATGTACACACCCAAGGAATTTTTACAAACGATCCCACCCAGGTGAGCATTGCCCAGAGTGTGAGCAGACCCCGCAGACCACATCCTCGGGGGGCTCTGGGTGTGAGTGACCTGGTGGCGTTGCCAGGCCTGCTCCTGGCTGTGCTGTGTCTCACCATCCGCTGCTGTTGCTGTATCTCTGAGGCCCATTCACGCTTGTGGCCCATCCACACTTGTCTCATTGCTGTGTGGTCTCCAGGCGTGTGAATCCAGCGCTGTCTATACCACACCTATGGGTGGCATCCTCACACAGCTTGGATTGTACCTGCCGCTGCCACCTGTGCTCTGCTGTCTTTGGGCCCGGGCGTGGGTGGGACTGCTATCCCTGGATATGGGGCTGCCCCGCAAGGACAGCTGCACACACAGCTCTGACCTTGCTGTGCTTCCGGCAGGACCTGACCGCGAGCTTCGAACAGTCAGACAGACCATGATTGACTTCCTGCAGAACCACACGGAGGGGAGCTGGCCCCCCGCCTGCCCGCCCCTGAACCCCATCCAGTGAGTAGCTCTAGGAAGAAGGCGGCATTAGGCTCACGTGGAACCGCACAAGAAACTTAATAGGTTTTATTAAGTGATGTGGCCACTGGGACGTGGTGGCCAGCTCAATGCTGTTGACAGCACTAAAAGCCTCTCTTTCTCTTAAAAGGCCCAGTGATGTTCTTTCTCTCATTGACCACCGTGGCAGCCATTACGTGGCTATTGTCTTTGAAAGCAACAGTTCCTACCTTGGACGAGAGGTATCGGTCTGCGTGGGCTGCGCGTGTCGCTGCGTGGTGTGACTGGGGGTGGCAGTGGATCGGGTGCTGGTCACTGCTTCAGCGTCTCGGCTCCTGCCCGTGGCTTTAGTCCTCGTTCATGATCAGAAGGGTAGTTGGTGTCACTCAGCAAAGTCACTGGTGTCTGGAGAAGAGTGTTAGGAGGAACGAGCTTGGCGGGGGCAGGGTTCAGAAGCTGGCCTCGCCCAGGTGTGAGACTAAGCCAGGGTTTTGCAGAAGAGCCCGTTTTTATGACCTATGCGTCTCGCCCTGAGGTCATTCTGGGTTTCTTATACGTTATTACTGAGATGTTCTCGTTGCTGTATTCTGAACTCTTAACATTTTTGCCAAATCCAGGATTCTGTAAAACATGGTTTCTGTCATTGTGATCCTTTGATTTCACACGAACAGTCAGTTCTGAAGCCTTGCTTTTGGCCAAGTCTAAATAAGATCCAGGGACCAGGTGCAGGGGCAGCTCACGGAAAGTGGTTACTGCCGACCGTCTTCCCGGAGACGAGAGATGAGGGAAGGCCTCGTCGCATGCTCCTTTGCCCAGCACTCACCCTGAGCTGCTCCTCCTCCTCTGCAGCTTGCTGGGCGACTGGTTTTCTGTCCACTGCAGAGGGGCTGGCGGTGGAGGGAGGAAACATCCTTGCCCCTGGGAGGGCTTTTGCACTGGGGGGCCTGATGGTGGAGGGAGGGAACAGCTTTGTCCTGGGAGGGCTTTTGCACTGGGGGGCCTGATGGTGCAGGGAGGGAACAGCTTTGCCCCTGGGAGGGCTTTTGGTGGTGCACTTGGGAAGGAAGCTGCAGACACCTGCACTGTGGCCGTCTCATTTTATGCCCTGGCACCCCAGCACCACTCCTGCAGGCTTGGTGTGATGCCAGGATGCCTCCCCGGGGTTGGCTAGATTCTCTGTGGAGGACTGAGGAGCCGCTAGCGGTATGTTGTTCTCCCAGCCCCCTTGCCCCATCCCAGGGCCCCCTCGTGCACTCGCTGTCTCGGACAGGGCCTCCACACACATGCAGACCAGATGCAGGAGTTCCTCCGAGAAGAGGGGCGTGCAGGCCCGTCTTGCTGCTGGACCCGCTCTCCTGCCTCCCTGGCATGCTGGAGCATTCAGGGAAGCCAGGCTCCACCCATGTGGGAGGAGTGCTCTTCAGCACAGTCACAGCAGGGCCCAGGCCAGAGACCAGTGTGGCCCCAGAGTAGTGATCAGCTCTCAGCAGACATAGCCAGCTCAGGAGAGGCACGGCCACTCAGAGTGCGCCCATCCATTCCTCTAGCCAGGGCCCTGGATTTGAGAAGCAGATGGTTTTGTTGCTGTCTAAGAGAAGGAGAGATGAATGCCCCATGTGGCGTTGGCACACACAGGGTTTCTTCTGAAATCCTGAGATGCCACTCCTGTGGTCCCTCTGTCACAGACCCTATTGCCCCTTCAGTCTGGGCAAAGCCAAACAGGAGCAGGGTGGCTGGGGAGGAGCGGCAGATCGAGGCCTCCTGCCCTGGCCATGAAGCTTCCACACACGGGACAGGTGCGTGAGGCCATGGGGCATGGCTGGTGTGTGCAGAGCCCCACTTGACCAGTGTCAGTGTTGTGGGAGGCACACTGGCTTTAGAAAGTCAAGTGCAGATTCATTAATGTTTTCTTTGACTGGTCTGTAAAATTGCCAAATAAGACTGTAGTTTCTGCCCATGGTGTGTCCCATCAGTTGCCCTAAAGTGTGATAAAAATGAAGCTGTGAGTGAGGGTCTTGCCTGTAGTGGGAGAAACGTCCTGTCCGGTTGTGAAAGGCTGCCTGCGAGGCCATGTGTCTGCACAGCGTCTCGTTTTCTGGGAAAACTGTCCTCCCCTGTGAACGTATCACTATGTTCTCATCACCCAGGTGATCCTAGACCTGATCCCATATGAAAACATCGTGGTCACTCGAGCGCTGGACGGGGACAAAGCGTTTCTGGAGAAACTCGGGGTTTCTTCAGTTCCCTCGTGTTTCCTGATCCACCCAAATGGGTCATGTGGATTGATTAACGTGTGAGTTTCAGGGTGGGATCCGGGAAACCCATGCCGTGCGGAGTAGACAGGGCGAGTCTGGTGTGAGATCCGGGGAGCCCTTGGCCCCTCCGCCTCCCTTCCCCAGGCAGATTTGGGCCCTGGCCCTCAGCTCTTGGGTCTTGCTGATCTGCGCTGTTTTCATTTATTTCTCTTTTCTCACTGTTGTGTCGCTGCACCTGGGAGGAGCCTGTCGTGGTGACTCACCAAGAGCTGCAGAGTAAACTGTGGCTGAACCAGCACATGCTCAAGGGCTACTGGGCTGGGCTTAAGAGCAGCAGGTGCTCCTACACTGCTCCCCATGGACTCTGGGCTGCAGTATGGGCCGTGTCTGGGGCTGTCAGGTGAGCCCACTCCCCCACCTCTGCAGAATGAGAGGGAGGGTGGGCACCAGGCCCTGCACGCAGACAAGCCCACATGCCCACCTCTGCAGAATGAGAGGTAGGGTGGGCGCCAGGCCCTGCTCCTCTCGTGCTGCTGCTGTCTCCTCTGAGAGCCACAGAAGCCTGACAAGCCCTTTGCCTCTGTGCAAGTGCCTGTGTGCCCCTAAGATACACCCAGCTAAACAGTAGAGACGGCTACAATAAGGCTGGAAAAAGAAAAATGAGGCTGGGTACAGGTGAGTCATTTGAGTCTAGGAGTCCAAGACCAGCGTGAGCAACATTGTGAGACCCCATCTAAACTAAAAATAAAACAGCTGGGCCTGCTGGTAGACGCCTGTCCTGGGTGCAGGGACACGGCAGCAAGAAGACAGGACGTGTTTCCTGTCTCTGGCAGCTTCCAGACCAGCCTTTTCTAAAGCGACTGGGGTAGAGAGGGAGCCATGCAGAAGCCCTGAGCACCGCAGCTGCTTGGCTGGTTTTCTGTCCTTTTGAGAAAGAAACCAGGCGCTGTGGCTCACACCTGTCATCCCAGCACTTTGGGAGGCTGAGGTGAGAGGATCGCTTGAGCCCAGGGGTTTGAGACCAGCCTGGGTTGATAGTGAGACTCCATCCTATGAAAAACCATATCCATTAGCTGGATATGGTGGAGTGTGCCTGTGGTCACAGCTACTCAGGGGGTTGTGGTGGGAGGATAATTTGAGCCCAGGAGGTTGAGGATGCAGTGAGCTGAGACTGTACCACTGCACTCCAGCCTGGGCAACAGAGGAAGATCGTGTCTCAAAAATAAATAAATAAATAAGTGAAAACAGAAAAGATAAAGCTGCAATTCAGGGTAACCACAGGCCATTGAGCTTGTTGGGAGATGCTCTGAGTGCTTGGGGCCCTGCCCTGCCAAAGAGGTGGCCCTTCCAGGTCTGGGGCACCCCACTGCCCTTGGCACAGCTGCCTGAACCGCTGCCAGCTTTGTTCAGTGTTAAAAGTATCCTGTAGACAACTTCTTTATGTAAAATAATGTTGATGTTTTTATAGGTATTTTAATACTTTTGCAAATATTACCCTTCGGTTCTGTCTTTGGAAACAGCAAGCTCTGAGTCACCCTGAAGTGCCGGGTCATGGCATCGAGCATGTCCTCAGAAGGACAGCTCCATGCTGTCCACACAGGGCGGGCGTGCAGGGAGCTCGGGCGGGGGGGACGGCTGACATCCACCCAGGCCCGACTTCCAGATGCCCCACTCAGGCTGGCAGATTGTGGGCGCGTCAGCGAAGGCTCTTAGGCGTGTTGGGAACCGCAGTCGGAGTAAAGCTGATCTTGGCAGATGCTCAACCTGGCTTCACAGAACGCCTTAAGATCCCCACAGACATGAATGAGTCCTAGCACTTATCACAACTAGACCTGGTTGTAAATCTGTGGATTTGGTGTGTCTCCTCTTATCCCTCAGGTGGCAGCTCAGCCCGGCCCAGGCCCCAGTAAATGTCCGAAGGCTGAATGGGGTGGGCCAGAACTTCACCGAACCCCGGGCTCTGATTGTTGGATTTTATAACGGGGCGTCTTCTCAACTTTGCCTTCCCTTCTCTTGCAGCGCGAAGCCTTTTCGGGCCTTCTTTTCCTCTTATTTGAAGTCATTGCCGGATGTGAGGAAAAAACCACTTTCCTTGCCTGAAAAGCCAAACAAAGAAGAAAATTCAGAAGTCGTGGTTTGGAGGGAATTTGACAAGCAAGTATTCCTCTTGAATGGAAGTCCCCGGGAGACAGTGCATGCAGACTGAAGGCTGCGCATCTGCAGGGCGGGTTCGCTCAGAAACCCATCCCAGCCGCTGAGGGCCTCTAGGAACCCTCCCGGGGCCACGGGTCCAAGGGGAGCAGCCAGGACAGGGAGAATTGCTGTGAAGGGAAAGGCCAGTGTGCCCTGATGCCGCCATGTTCTGTCCTAGGTCGAAGCTGTACACAGCGGACCTGGAGTCGGGTCTGCACTACCTCCTGCGGGTAGAGCTGGCGGCCCACAGGTCCTTGGCCGGAGCGGAGCTGAAGACGCTCAAGGACTTTGTGACTGTTGTGGCAAAGGTGCGGTCCGGTTCTGGTCTGGGCTGCTTGTGGGAATTTGACCCTGCACAGAGTGGGTGCCTGGGGCCGTCGGACACTGCGAGGGGCTCCACCAGCCTCCGTTGAGGTGTTCTCCACCTCGCTTTGTCCGCCTAGGCCTCTGCCCCAGCTCATTCCACCAATTTCCCAAGTGCTGTTCCCAGCACTGGGGCTGGAGCAGTGGATGTGGAGAGGGGCAGAAGGCATGAGCCAAGCACCTATTGGTTGGTAAAGCCCAGCTCTGGCTGGCTGGAGAGGAGACGGAGGCAGGAGCGGAGGCACACACCTCCGCTGGCTCTCAGGGGCCAGTGCACGGGGCTTGTGGGGAGAGGAGAGGCTGGGCAGTGCAGATCCAGGTGGGGTGTGCACCTGCTCCACTAGCCAGGTTCAGGGAGTGGTGCTGGGGGCTTCACACTCAGCGCTGTCACCAGCACAGTGTGGTGTCTGAGACCACTGAGGGGGTTAGCATGACCAGGCAGAGACACAGCCCAACAGAGCTCAGGCCTGGCTGTGCCCAGAGTACCAGCCAGGGAGGTGGTCAGGTAGAACTCCACTTCCTCAGTCTCTTGTTACTGTCTAAATGATATGGAGGCTTACGCTTAAAATATTTCTCTTGCCAAAAATAAGATGCATGATAGAATCATTTATAGTGAGCACTTTGGGTAGAGTTTACTTAAGAGGTGCTTCAGATGCATGCATGAGCATTGCCCAGGCAGGCTTTTACCCCACGGTGCCATTCAGAGTTCAGAAATCTCTAGCTGGCCTCATTTCCTTTAAGAAAGTGTTCTGCTAATCTGTCCATCATATTAGCGGGGGACAGGGTGGCTCTTAGTGGTGGCCGCCGGCCAGCTAATTCGCTGGAGTCTCACAGCTGTCGAGAGACCGACCTGCCCTCCTCCCCCTCCTCTCAGTCTCGCCCCTGAGTCTAGCTGGGAGTTCTTATGCTTGTGCTATAGGTAACTCCTTAGGCCAGGGTATGAATAAGTTATTCTTAGTATTTTTCTAAAGTTTACTTGGATGTCCAAAATAAATTTGATACTGGTAAATGAATCATAGTACTTTTTAACCTACATGGGAGAAAATATATTGGACTGAGCTGAGGATGCCCACGTTTCTGCTCCAGCATTGCCATTGTGAGGTTTCAGCCCAGGTTTTAGGAGCTCTCTTGGTGACCTGTGTTTTGCAGTTTGTGGTGCAGCAGCCGATCAGAGTTCCTCATAAAAAGACGGAGCCCTGGGGTCTTCTCAGCCAGACGCTCCCCAAGCTGTTGTGATGTCGGCCAGTCTCACGGCCCACACAAGCCCGCAGGCAGTTAGTCCAGGCTGCCAGTGATGGCAGAGGGGAAGCTGAGTGGGCAGGCGGGCGGGGTCAGTGGAGCTCCTCATGAGGAAGGCAGAATAAAATCAGCAGGCCCCCACCAGCTCTGTGATGAGTCACGTACCATGACCTTGCCTGTCGCCTGGCGGGAGCAACTCCATGGGCACAGGTGGGTGAGCCAAAGACAGGGCTGGGGAAGGGCATGGCCATGGGTGCAGGCTGTCCTGGGGAGAGGTGCTGGCTGGATGCCCACCCCATGGCCCCTCAGGTTTCCTGCCTCCCATCAGAGTTCTTAGAGAGGTCCCCATCCTAGATTCAGTCCCTCTGTGGACAGAGGGCTTGTCCTTGGAGGTGCTATGCCCCCGGCGGTGGGGGCGGGCCCACTTTGGGCCTGTAGCCCTCAGGGTGGCTCCCTCCTCGTGCAGCTGTTCCCCGGACGGCCACCAGTCAGGAAGCTATTGGAGACGCTGCAGGAGTGGCTGGCCAGCCTTCCCCTGGACAGGATCCCCTACAACGCCGTGCTGGACCTGGTCAACAACAAGATGCGGGTGAGCCCAGAACCCTCACCAGCCGTGCTGCGCCCTCTTTCCCTCGCCCTTAGCTGGCACTGCTCCTCCCTGCTCAGGGCCCTGGCTCTGCGGTGAGGAAGGAAAGCAGCGACCATTACTGTTCCTGTTTCCCGTGACAGCGTCACGCCCAGGCCTCAGTGTAAGGACAGCCCACCGAAAGTGCACTGTGACAGCCTGTCCTTTGGAGAAAACAGGGTTTTCTCAAGCAACGTAGTACTTGGACCTTTAAAATTTTAGTAAAGTCAATTAACGAAAAATGGTGTGGCAGCCCTGCCGGAGCTTTCCCCAAGCCCAGGTGCCAGCAGGTGCCAGCCTCACTCAGGGACTAGCACCCCAAGAGGTCTGCACTGCCACCTGCCATTCCCTCCTTAGTCCAGATCAGCAGCTTCTCTGCGGCCCCTGGAGTGTTTAGTAGCGGGAAGCAAACCCGGCGTGCTGCTTGTCAGCGGCACACAGCAGATTTGGGAATCTTTTAAGGGGAATTTATCGTGCCATGATTTTGCCAGCCATGCCATTTGCTGGCTGCAGCTGAGCAGTGGACGGTGCTGGGCTCCTGGCCTGAGTCTCTCTTCCACCTTGAATCAACTCCAAGCTTGAGGCTGTGGGAGCATCCTCTCACGTGACTGTGATGTGTGACACCTCCCTTGAGAGCACAGCACAGGCTCAGGAGCCCTTAGGGAGGGAAACGTTGAGACATGAGACCAAACTGAAGGGACTCTGCCCGGGGCTTACAGCCCCACTTGCCAGCAGTCACCCGCTCCCATGGCCGCCTCCACCTCCTTGCGTCTTAAAAGTGAGCACACCTTAGGCCAGGCATGGTGGCTCTCGCCTGTAATCCCAGCACTTCGGAAGGCCAAGGCGGGTGAATCATGAGATCAGGAGTTCCAGACCAGCCTGGCCAACATGGTGAAACCCCATCTCTACAAAAATACAAAAAATTAGTTGGGTGTGGTGGGCACCTGTAATTCCAGCTATTCAGTAGGCTGAGGCAGGAGAATCGCTTGAACCCAGGAGGTGGAGGTTGCAGTGAGCCAAGGTTGTGCCACTGCACCTCAGCTTGGGTGACAGTGCAAGAGTCTGTCTCAAAAAAAAAAAGTGAACACGTTGTTTTCTGGCCGAGCCTTTTCTTTTAATACTGTCATTACAGCAAATTCTAATTTAGAAGAAAAGGTAGATATGTTTTATGCTTAACATTACTAGTTTATCAAATACAGAAAAACCTTCTCTCCAGAGGTTGACTTGAGAGCTGCTTTAGTGAAGGAAACCATTCCTCTCGTTTGTTTTCTTGAATTTAAATTGGCACTTGGTGGAAGGCGCAGATCTTATGTGTACAGTGGATACAGCTTCAGTAAACTACACCCCCATCACCATCTCCTTAGTCAAGACGGTATCTGTTGGCTGTTTTTAATTTCAACCATTATATTTTATTCTTTGGGTTTTTTTTTTTTTTTTTTTTTTTCAGATTTCTGGAATATTCCTTACTAATCACATAAAGTGGGTTGGATGTCAAGGAAGCCGACCTCAGTTGAGGGGTTACCCATGTTCTCTCTGGAAACTGTTCCACACTTTGACTGTTCAAGCCTCGGCCCACCCAGACACACTGGTTGGCACAGGTGAGCTGTCCCTGCACAGGCCAGCGGGGCTGATGGTCTGCCCCACACGCTACCCCAGCCTGCGTATGTGAGGCATGTTCTGTTATATGTGAGGTAGCGTGTTGCCAGGGCACCGAGGCGGGGAGCATCGCCTCAGACTCCTCACATATGAGCAGCTCACCCAGGGCTGTGCCCTCAGAGTACGAGTGCCCCTCGTTAGAACTCACAAGGATGTGCATGGCTAAAATGCAGGAAATAAACCACAGAGGAGAGAGAACCCTGGCTGGGAATTTCCCTGCAGTGTAAACTCCCTGATTTTGCTTTAAAAAAAAAAACGGGAGAATAAGTGAAATCTATTTGGAGTGGTATATTCATGATCAGCTGTTGCATGATGAATCACCCCAACATTTAGCAGCCAGAGAGCCACCCATGGTTATGAGCTTACAGTTTCTGAGGTCGGGCATGGCCTCATCCGGGTCCTCTTGAGGATCGGTGAGGCTGCAGTTAGAGTGTCAGCCAGGCCTGGAGGGCACCCAAGGCCCACTGGGAGAGAGTGTCTTCCCAGCACCCTCACGGAGCAGAGAGCAGGATGCGCCTCCTTGTACATGGCTTGCCTAAGGCCCTGAGCTCCAAGCTGGCTGCTGGCTGGAAGCCACGCCCAGGGCCTCTCTGTGGGGCAGCTCACATCTGGCAGCAAGCTTCGTCGGGGAGCCAGCAAGTGGGTGCCCACCCGAGGCTGACATTTTGTCATCTATCCCAGATTCTGCTCACTAGTCAGTCACCAGGCCCAGGCCATGTGCAAGTGGAGGGGATTACAGGAGGGGTGAGTTAGGTGGCTGGATCTGTGGGGGCCAGGACAGAGGCCACCCACCATGAGGGGTTAAAGCCTATAAAGCTTTTTAAAGTTGGATTTAATAATTTTCAATTAGTAGGAAATTGATAAAATGAACTGCTCTGTCCTTCAGAGAACACTGAAGTATATATTGGCTTCTTAATCCCCTCTGAATTTGGCTGTGTGTGCGCTCTTCCCAGTTTAAGCAGTGATTCAGGTTCAGTAACGTTTACTTTAAAGCCAAGCTGTAGTCTTTTACTCGCACAGTTCAATCCTGTTTCCAAGAAAATTGTCAAATTCTTTTACAGTTATTTTTTGCCATGTCACAAAGTAACCCAAAGTGCTGGGCTTTAAGCAGCCTCTGCTGTGTTTGCTTATCATGCTGTGGGTCAGCAGTTTGGGCTGGGCTCAGCTGGTGGTTCTTCTGTGAGGGCTGCTTGGGCTCCCTCGTGTGGCTGCCTTCATCTGGCGGCAGCTGGTCGGTCCAGGGGACCTTGGAATGCCTCATATTTCTGAATGTGGCTTCCCTACCAGGTAGCACCAGGCTGAGGCAGGACCTCCTGAGAGGCCTCAGTGTAGAGTCACATATCATCCCTTCCACCACCTCCCTTTGATCTAGCCTACATTTGTGCTAGGAGAAATAGATTCCACCTGGTAATGGGAGAAGCAGCAAAGTCACAGTATGGGAGAATCTCCCGGAATGGGAGCGCTGCAGTGGCTCTCTGAAAATCTCTTCTGTTCTGGCTTGCAGGGTAACATTGGATTACTGCTTCTCAGGGGTCTGGTTGGGAGAGACGGTGGTTTTTAACCTCAAATCATTTTCATAATCATACAGTAAAAAGAGGTGTATGTTTTTTGGGAGAAACCTTGGGAGCTGCCCAAACAGAAATTGAAATCCGAGCATCCACACTGCCTGAGTGAATGCCCAGCCAGGCCATATAAACCCAATTTTGGGCTGGGCTCAAGGCTCACACCCATAATCGCAGCACTGGAGGTTGATTGACAAGCCAAGATCATGCCACTACACTACAGCCTGGGCAACAGAGCAAGACTATGTCTCCAAAAAAGCTGCTTCTGAAACATAAGCCTGAGTTACGAAACCATGTTTGCCTGGGAAAGTTGTGGTGAGGAGCTGCGCCATCACACCATCCCCCTTTCCATCTGCTCTGATCACACGGGCTGCTCAAAGGCAGTATGAGCACAGTGCAGACCAAGGAGAAGTTGGGGGCCAGGGTATTTGATTTTAAACTCTTCTGGGAGCGGCCCTAGTGTAGTGGAATTGTGAGAGCAGCATGATGGCAAAGCTCACCACTAACAAGACTCTCAGCGCTCCTTCCTCCCATAGCGTATTGGAAGCAGCCTCCAGGAGTAGCCTCCTGCCAAGAGAATTGGGTCAGAGGCAGCCATGGGATTAAGTCTTGGAAGGTTTTTCTTCTCTTTGCTCTATGTTTAAGCCCCATCCACTAAAATGCCTGCAAGGCCTCTAATCCCCCCACAGGTAGAGGTTGATGGTTCTTGTCCACTCGGAAGATTAGGGGGGCCCCGCACCCACGGTGATGTGGTGGGAAGAGGAGGGGGATTACATGGTGATGCAAGGCAGATGTCTGTGGAGCCCTCCTGGTGGGAGCGCAGGACAGACGGGCCGGGTGGCAGGGCCAGCGCCTGCCGTCCCATCTGTATTATCGCCCAGCTGCCCGTGGACACACTCGAGGTCAAGGAGGAGGTGGTGGTCTGCTCTGCTCTCACCTTCTCTGGGTGAAATAAATGAGAACCGTGACGATTACAGATCGACCTGGACACTGAGATCAGGGCCTGTGCACAGCTGTGCTCTCAGGGAGCCACGACAGGCGTCAGGCCTGCACCAGCGCAGGGAGCTCCCCCAGGGCCTGCTGTTGGTGAAGATGGACTCATTCTTGAAAGCATGTCTTTTTTTAATACTGACGTGTAATCTGTTTTAATCTCGTGGGTCTCCTATCTGTGAGTTCAGGCTCCTGTATTAGTTGTCTTGAGTGGGGACTGCCAAGCCCCACCCCGTGCTGCCCTCTTGGTTTTCTCAGGGGTTCCCCTTCGGTGTGGTGCTAGCCTCTTCTGCCACCGTGATCAGCGGTTGCTTTCCTGAGACGTGTGTTGTTCATTCACAGCGTCTATGCAGGCTCCCCGGCCTGTCCATGTCTGTTTTTACCTACTGTGGCACGAACTTTGGCTTGTGGGTATACCCATCCCTGTGCCCGCCCACCCACTCTGCATCCTCACGCCCAGGGCTGGTGGCAGCCTAGAGTCACTTCTTAAGGCCATGTCCCCACTTGCCCTGGGGCTTTCAAACACGACAACTACAGATTTAGAATGAACAGTGTCATTGCCCTGGCATCAGCCTCTGGGAGTTGCTTGTAGGGCAAGAGGGACTACACCCAGCTGGTAGATCCCAAGGAAGAAGCATTGCTTGGTGGTCCAGGAGGCATTCTGGCACAGACAGCTGGAAGCCTGGTGGGAGATTCAAGGTGCTCCTGGAAGGGCTCCCTGGGGCCTGAGTGGCTCATCCTTCTCTTGCTCTTCTGGCCTCTGGGCTGTGCACAGTCATCATGTCTCCAGAGCCTGCGGGACCTGGCCGTGTTGGACATCTGAGCAGGTGCTGGCTCCTGGTCTGTGCCCACAGCCTGAGGCCCCTGTGGAGACATGAGGGGGCTTCGCGATGTGTAAGAAGCAGTTCCCCCCAGGCTCTGTGGACAAGTGTGGGGTCAGGTGACCCCCACGCACCTGCTGTTGTCAGTGGCATTTTTTTCTCCTGCAGGCTTTGAAGATGACCCCCAGGCTGTGCTGCAGACGGTGAGGAGGTACATTCGCACCTTCTTTGGGTGTAAGGAGTGTGGTGAGCACTTTGAGGAAATGGCTAAAGAATCCATGGATTCAGTGAAAACCCCAGACCAAGCCATCCTCTGGCTTTGGAGGAAGCATAATGTGGTGAATGGCCGCCTGGCAGGTGAGAAGTGCCTGGGTGTGGGGTCTCAGCATGGGCGTGGGAGGCCCTGGTCCTGGGGACAGTGGGGATGGCATGGCCATGGCGGGGCTTGCCTCTGAGCTTTGCGTCTTCGTGCCACCTGCTGTGCTGACAGGATCAGGACTTAGGTGGCCGGGAGCTGCCAGAGCCACAGCCTTTCCCACGCTGCTTCTGTTCCTGGGTTTCCAGATGGTTCTCTCGCTCTGGGGAGGCTCTTGGGCCCTTGTGGACATGGGTGTAGCTTATTCTTCCTGTTGTACCCTCAGGTACCTCACTAGACCCTGAGGGTATTTGGCTCTGGAAAGCTTGAAACATAATTTCTTTTTTCTTTTTTTTTTCCCAGTCTTTTTTTTTTTTAAATAAAGATGGGGTTTTACCATGTTGGTCAGGCTGGTCTTGAACTCCCAACCTCAGGTGATCCGCCTGCCTTGGCCTCCAAAGTGCTTGGATTATAGGAGTGAGCCACCACACCCGGCCAGAACATAATTTTTGATGAGGAATTTTAGTATGAAAATCTGTTGTCCAAATGTAAACCAAACCTCTCAGTGGTTTTGTTAAAAAAAAATTAAATAGGGCACATGTATTTTCTCAGAGTTAAGTACTTCAAACTATCCTAAATCAGTGGCAGATTAAAATTAGGCTTAAAAATAATTCCGATGAGAAATAAATCTTAATAGAGATGAAAAGAAAATGCCACTGAACTATGGGTTTTTATTTAATCCACTGTATTATGAAAACATATTACACTAAAGCACTAAGGAAAATGGGTTTTCTCTGCGCCGAGCCTGCCTGCCGGGGTCTGGGGCATGTGGCCGCAGGCGCCTGTGTCTGGGGGATTTGTTCCCAGGGTCAGCAGTGTCTCAGCCTCTCTGTCCTGGCAGCCTCTGCATTACTGCCACCCACAGAGTTCCCTGCACTTTTTCAAGCCCTCGGCTCTAAGGCAGTGGGACCAGGACCCTCGCCAGGCCTGCCTGGACCTGGAGGCCCTGCTGTTGCCTGTTGCCTGCTGGAGGCCCAGCCTGCTTGTGCCTCCCCCGCCCCCGTCATGAGGCTGCAGCAGAAAGGGGTCTTACCACCCAGCATGACTGTCACTCCTGAGAGTCCCACCCCACACAGTCCCACCTCTAGCCTGTGTATGGAGACCCAAGCTCCTGGGAGGCCCCTCGGAGATCTGCCCAGGGTCATCCCCCCAGGGCTGGTGCCTTACTCTACAGTCGTACTTGAGGCTCTGGCAGCTTCCCACCAAGTGCTGCTGGTCCATGCTTTGTCCCCTCTGTGAGAGGGGACTCAGCGCCCTCTTTGAAGAGTGGCTGAGCACTGGGCAGCAAAACCTTATGAAGGTGGGTCCTGTCTGCATCCCCTCCTGGCAGTCCGTGCCGGGCGTGCAAAGCTGTGTCTACAAGGATGCTTGCTGCAGAGTTGTGTGCATGGCCGCCCACAGGGAATGGGTCAGATAAACACCCAGAACACCCGTGCGGGCACACAGGTGTCGGAAGTATGTGGTAGGTTTGTGTTTAGCAGTGCGGAGCTCCGTGGGGGCACGGACCCCGGTAGAAGGGCGTGTGGGTGGTCTCTCGGCGGGACAGACGTGTGTCTTTGCATGTGCAGAAGGGACCCGAAGGCCTCTCCTATCACAGTGCGTCTGGGAGTAGAGTTGGGGGCAAGCTCTGCTTGTCTCTCTGCATGTCAGTATTTCTTTTCATCTTTCTTGATTTTTTTGGAGAAGTATTGATCTTGATTCAGCGTAGTAGAGGCTCTAGGTGTCCATCGCCTTTCAGCCTGAGAGCGAGCACACTGCAGAGACACACACTGTTGCCCTCCTCCTCCTCACGTCGCAGCTCCAGTGACACCGTTTTAATGAAAACGTTAAACATAAAAAATAGAAGTTTGAGGGTTTTTTAAAGGAGTGTATAAAAAGTCCCACAAAAGTTGTCAACTTTGTTCCTTATTCTACAAAGTAGCATCAGTAGTAGTGTGTGAGGTGATAGAGACCAACACAGCATCCTTTCAGAGGGGCCACTGGTGTGTCCTGCTGTTCCCCAGAGGGAGCATGTCACCACAGAAAGGGATTTGTAGTCTGGAAAGGGCCAGTGTGCCTGAAGTACAGTGGAAATGCATCACCACCCACTCTGCCCTTTCCCGAGGGTGCACCTGAGGCCCACTGTCCGTACAGTGCAGGTGGCCGGGGCGCAGAGGCAGTGGGCTTCAAGTGCACCCTCAGGAAAGGGCAGAGGGGCAGCGATGTGGGGAAGGGGCACACGGGCAGCACCATGCAGACAGAGGCCTCAAGGTGAGAGCTGTGTGCTGTCACCTGTTTTGGAAGTGGAGTGCTGGGTGGTTGGGGCAGGTGTGGTCCAGGAAGTGGCAGAGGCCGAGCCTGTAGCCTCTGCTTACTTGCAGGCCTGGGAGACGGTAGAGGGGACACATGCGCAGAGGCCTGTGGAAGCAGGTGTCCTCTGGGCCACACTGCAGGGGAAGGGTGGGAAGGGCGGGGAGGGAGGCCCGTGGCGGGAGGAGTAGGAATCTGCTGGCTGGAGGCTGCACCTGGCCTCACAGGCCTCCTCCCTCTGGCTCTTCTGCTTCCTTTTCTTCCTAGGCCATCCGAGTGAGGATCCGAGATTTCCAAAGCTTCAGTGGCCCACTCCAGACCTCTGCCCAGCCTGCCATGAGGAAATGAAGGGCCTGGACAGCTGGGATGAAGGCCACGTGCTCACATTCTTGAAGCAGCACTATAGCCGTGACAACCTCTTAGACACTTATTCCGCAGACCAGGGGGATTCTGGTGAAGGAGGACCCCTGGCCAGAGGTGAAGAAGAGGAAAAACGACTCATTCCCCCAGATAAGTCTCATGGAGACCAAGACGCCCAGAGCGTTCGTCCACCCAGTGTACTGGGCCCCAGGCCCGCCCTTCCGGAGAGCTTGCGCCACAGGCTGGACGTGAGACTGCAGAGTCTGGATGGGCCCAAGGTCCACAAGCAGGTGGAGGTGGCCGTGCCCTTCCTTGGGGTCGGCTTCTCCAGCCTGGACATGAGTCTCTGTGTGGTGCTGTATGTGGCTTCGTCCCTGTTCCTCATGGTGATGTACTTCTTCTTCCGGGTGAGGTCCAGGCGGTGGAAGGTCAAATACCACCACCCGGCTGTGTGAGTGCCCTTGGAGAGGCGGCCCCGCCCCGTGCCACCTGCAGCTTTTAATACTGGATCAGGGATTTTACACGCGGGCCTGGTTTCACATCCGATGACACCTTTTGGCTTCTGAGTCCTCGTTTTACAAACACTCTTCTGACAAGGGAAGAGGTGGGGTAATTGTGTGGGGGTGTTCGAATTCCCGGCGTACTCAAGTCTGTTCATACGCCCTTCACAGGTTCTACGGCAAAAAGACTTCTATGTTTCCTCTAAAAGAGGGTGAGGAGTCCAGGCCAAATAATGTTCCCCACACACTTTAATCTCAAGTTTCCTGGACTCCATCTCATCCTGCAAGACCTTGTTTTCCCCACCCCTCCAGGCTGCCCAGTGTTCTCCTTCAGCCAGGCGGGGGCAGAGCAGAGCCGGAAGTGCAGGCGGCCTCTGTGCCCCTCCAAGCAAGTGTGGCTCCAGTGACATCCAGTGTGCTTTCCACGGCTTCCCTAGGGAAGGGTTCCTGAGGGCTTTCTGCGCTCCTGCAGGTGTTTTCACTGTAGTTGTGGGGATTTGAACAGGGGAGGAGCCGAGGAATTTCGTGGCTGTGCTGCATTTCAGAAGATAACCCCCAGAGGCCTTGTGCCGTGGACTTGGGGATGGGAAGGATGGTGGCTTATTTAACTCTCAGAGGCAGCACCTATGTTTGTTTATCTGGTGACAAGAGAGAGACATGTAAATGGGGGCCATTTGGTCACCTGGTCCCCAGAGGGCAGCTCTGGGTTCAGCGGGCAGGTGGTGCTCAGAGCAGAGGGCCCAACGGGTGGGGAGGAGAGTGGTCTGCCCTTGGGAGCACAGGCCCCAGGGAGACTTCTAAAGCCCCCTCTGTGGTCTGCTCTTCACCCAACACCACAGAGGCCTGCAGGTCCCAGCCACACACGTGTACCTCGCCCTGGGCCCATGGAGGGGGTAGGGTGGCAGGCGCTGCAGGTCCCAGCCACACATGCACCTCGCTCTAGGCCCATGGAGGGGCAGGGGTGGCAGGCGCCTGTGCCAGGTTTCCTTTGCCTGAAGCTGCTTTGGGAAGGATCTCCACACAGGCACTGGTTTCCCAAGCTTTGGTCATGATTTCTTTTACCATTTAATAATTTTAAACATTGTTTTAAACCCAAAACGTTTAGTGGTCACTTACCTCTGAAGATTTAAACAAAAAAAATACACTATTTTGGGGAACATTTATATTGAGCTTCTTTGTGGCTGTTGGTGTGTCTCACAGGCTCAATTTGATTTGGCTGAAGTAGGCTCAGATGTGTGTGTGTGACCATCTGTGTGTTGCGCATCTCTGACAGTTGTAAATATTTCTTCTGCTTTGCCTCCTTGGTGTTGTGTACTCATGTGTTTACTAACTGTGGCGGATCACATGGTGTATTCGTAAGACCACCGTAATACTGATGTTATTGTTGCAGCTTGAGGAACACGGTCAGCAGCTGATTCCTTAAACAGCTGTCACAGGACGGCTGTGCTAAGGATGCCACCCAGAGCCCCGTAGCTGGTGGGAGAGGTGTCTGATGCCTTGGCCCCTGGCTTCACGGCTCACGTGAGCATTTCTTCTGGTTTCGCACTTTTAACCCGTCTGTGCTTGGACAGCCATGACGTTGCCTTCATTGCTGGTTAGAGGCCTGGGTTATTGAAGACACCAAAGTGTTTCTCTTTCAGCTTGAAAACCAGGTGGGTCTACTCATGAGTTTCAGTGTATTTGCCTTTGAACCCTTAACTAACCTGACTTTTGGCTAGTGTTGAATGTCTTTAGCTGGGGTGACCTGGGACAGCGTTAGGGTTACCGTCTCCAGCTTCAGCCTTTCCAGAAACCCACGTGGAGCACAGTGTGGCTGCAGATTCATCATCCTATTGCTGTCTGGGATCACCACTGTTTGGGGGACAAGCTTGCGACCTGCTGAGGGGCAGGGTTTTCAGCAGTGTCAGTGGTGGGGATCTGAGCCGCTGTGGAGGTGGCCCCAGGGGTCACATGTCCATGCTCTAACACACCTCGTGTGACCACTCAGAGCTGGATGCCACCTTTAGGCAAGGTTTAGAGTCTATTTTCTCAAGTTTTAAGTATTTTAAGAGGTATTGAGACTAATGAATATGATAGTTCAGTAATTTAAATGTTTATTTATTTTTAACGGAAGGATTTTTATTAAAAATAAGCTAATTGACATGGAAATGTCAGTGAAATTTCTTACCTGCAAGGAAAGTGAACATTTTGTATTTAAGTAAACTATAATGTGCACATTTTATGAATAAAGGAATCCGACATTTGAAAACAATTGTGATTCTTTTGAAATGTGAACCAGCTCTACCAATGAGAGTGGTAGGTGTGGCGGGGTGCAGAATAGACCCTTCTTTCTGTTTATGGACTGGACATCTGAAATTCTAAAATTTCTTATTTTGAACCATTGGCTTTTGGGAGACAACCAACGGGTCAAATGGAAAGTGAAAGATGGAAATCAGTGACAGATTATCTCCTTGGAGCTGATCTGGATGGAGAGACAGGACAAGCCCCTGGATTTTACAGGTAGATGAAAGGCAGCTGAGATGCATGTAAATTACACACTTTAAAGGGCACTCGCAGCAGCCCAGCTTGAGGGAACCTCAGAGGAACCCCAGCCTGCCTGAATAGCCACCCCTCTGCTTCCCAGGTGTGAGTGTCCTGCCATGGCTGAGTTTGCAGTCTGTGGAGTTTCGTTTTCTTTTGCCCCGCCCCCAGTTTTGCTGTGCCGGTGGGGGCGGGGGAGTGGTCTCCAATAGTCTTGTCTGTGGCTTTGGAGGACTCCCGTTGGCACCTCCATGACCAGACTGTGCAGAGACTGGCAGGGAACTCAGGCCCTGCTTATGCCCAAGGTTTTGAGTCCAGAGCAGCGTTTCTGTTAGGGGGACTGCAGGTGCCCCTCCTCCTGGCAACCTGGGGGACTCGGGCTGAGCTTTTCCCAGAAATTGGGGGCTGGGTTCAAGGAGGTTAAGAGCGGGAAGTTTCTTGACCAGCTAAATACCTGCATGAGGGCCTCAGTGAGCCCTGGGTTGGAGATTATCAGGCAAGGGGCCATCCTGGGGCATGGCCTGGGCACTGCCTTCCAGAGGTTGCCCGCCAGAAGAGTAGGCTCAATGGCCTCCTGTCCCGCGGCTGGACGACCCGCTTGCTGCGAATCCCGGCGCCTCAGCGAGGCCTGGAGCTTGGGGAGGAGCTGGAGCGGGCGCTGCTACCCCGAGTCTGGGGCGAGGGCGGGGACTGCCCTGAGTGCGCGTCCGACGCTGCCTGCCCGAGCACCGGGGAGGGGGGCAGGAGCTCAGCGAGGCCTGGAGCTCAGGGAGGAGCTGGAGCTGGCGCTGCTACCCCGGGTCTGGGGCGAGGGCGGGGACTGCCCTGAGTGCGCGTCCGACGCTGCCTGCCCGAGCACCGGGGAGGGGGGCAGGAGCTCAGCGAGGCCTGGAGCTCAGGGAGGAGCTGGAGCTGGCGCTGCTACCCCGGGTCTGGGGCGAGGGCGGGGACTGCCCTGAGTGCGCGTCCGACGCTGCCTGCCCGAGCACCGGGGAGGGGGGCAGGAGTGGGGGTGGGAACCGGGGCGGCGAGAGAGACCCCGGGAGGTGGGTGGGCGGGCGCGCGGGCGGGGCGGGCAGTGGGCGCCTCCTTCAGCACCGCGGACAGCGCCCGGCCCAGTGGCTCGCAGGTTCCCCGCTCCGCACCACGCGGCGGGACTTCGGAGCCCCGAGCCCTCCGGGGAACGTCGACCTACGAGGAGCGCGGCTCGAGCCACTCGGCCTGGTGGCCGCGATGCTGCTGGAAACGGGGCTTGAGCGCGACCGAGAGAGGCCCGGGACCGCCGCCGTCTGCACTTTGGGCGGGACTCGGGGTAAGAGCCCCGGGGTGCCCGCGGCCTCCAGCCCGGGCAGGACACCGAGGACAGAGACGGCAAGGGCGACAGAGATGCGAGGAAGAGGGTGCGCAGGGCTAGAGGCCAGGCCAAGAAAGTCTCACCGCTCTGCAGGCGGGACACAGAGATGGGAACACAGTGCAGGGAGAGAGTTGCCAGATCCCAGGGTGGCCGGGAGGGCCTGGCGCTGGCCTGCAAGAGAGGGACAGTGGTGGAGTAGAGACCCCAGAAAAAAGGGTGCATCGCAGGCACAGCTGCGGGGCGATGGGGCCGAGCGAGGGGTGCCAAGTTCCCCCGAGACTATTGCCCCTTAGCTCTTGCACACAGCCCCACCCAGGCCGCTGGACCCTACAGCAGGGAACCCAAGGCTGGGTCTCCCGCCTGAACCACTCTCCCCAAGGGCCATTCCATCACCACGGACGCTGGGAAATAATGGAGGCATTGTTGGAGGGCCGGCCAGATGCGAGCAGCGTGGGCCGCCTCCTTGACCTGCTGCCCCCTGCCCCCGTCCAGCCACACACGGCCCCTGCCCGCTTCCTCAGCAGCTGACACCCGCCTCCTGGACCTGGCACAGCCCGTGCACACTAGGCTTTGTGCCCTCGGGTCTTTGCCCTGGCCCTTCTCAGGTAACAAGTGCTGTGCAAAGTGAAGGGGCAGAGAGCTGGCTGCTGCATGGGGGGCTGCTCAAGACGGGCACATCGGACCTGCTGGGAGCTGGCAGGGGGACTGTGGTTTTCTTGCACCCATCCTTCTGGGCTTGGCCCCTGAAAGCTCACAGTCCAGAATCCATAGGCAGAGTGGACAGAGTATTACCGTCAGACCCGCAGGGAGAGGGACCGGGAGGATGGCATCAGTCCCTGGTCACCCAAACCTTCCTGGGTGTTTCTGCACTGCCAGGGCTCTCCTGTCCTCACCATGTCCCGTGCTGTGAGGGCCACTCACTGCTGTGTTCTTCCCGGGGTGGCTGCCCAGGGCTGGCGCTGGCCCAGGGCCCTCTGGGCAGGGGTGGTTGTGCCCCTCTGCCTGCAAGGATAGCGTGGGTTCTGGAGAGCTCGCCTGTGTGGACTGGGGCAAAGGGCTGGAATATTCGATAAATAAACTGTGTTCTGATGGAGCCAGAGAGCTGGGGGCTGGAAATGGAGGGGTGCCCCGGACTTCCCAGCACTGACGTCCACGACACGAGGTCTTAGCTGCGTGTCCAGGACACAGAGCCTGTTCTCTCTCAAGGCTTGCTATTCTTCCCTGAGCCCACTCCGGGGCCCCAGTTCCGGGTGGAGCCCAGAAGCCTGTTGGCATCTGGGATCGGGTCCTTGCGGTTCCGGTACGCAGCCTTCAGCGCCACACTCACCCCTTCCGCGTTTCGGGTTGAGCTCCTGTCGACCAGCTCCGGCTCCCGAGGCCAAACCTCAGCGGCGGGAGGACCCGGCTGCCTTCTCCACCCCTCTCCCGGGAACCTTAGCCCTCCTGGCGTGTGCTCGAGCCCAGGCCTCTGCCCGCGGCCCGCTCCGGCGCAGGAAGCTGCGAGGCGGGCAAGAACGCTGGCGGGCAGCCCTGACCTGAGACCTCCCCTACCGGTGCCCGCCCTCAGGTTGAGCACGCGGGGCGGCCTGTGGGCACCGCAGGTCCCGGCGCAAAGGCGCGAGTCCGCGGTCGCCCCGGGCTCGTCTCCGCGACCCCCGGCCCCGCCCCGCGCCGCGGCCCCGCCCCCCGGCCGCTCCGCCTTCAGCTCGGCCGGAGGCTCCGGGCCCCCCGGGCAGCCTGCGGGCGCAGCGCCCGGCAGCACCGGGAGTCGGTTAGACGCCGGTTCGGAGCCACTGCGGCGTGGCGTCGCCGGGTCCCGGAAAGTTCGGGACCGGAAGAGTGACAACGCCGGGCGGCGGGACCCATGGAGGCGCGCGGGGAGCTGGGCCCGGCCCGGGAGTCGGCGGGCGGCGACCTGCTGCTAGCGCTGCTGGCGCGGAGGGCGGACCTGCGCCGAGGTGGGTGACCGGGCCGAGTGGCTGCACCGGAGAGACCCGGAGAACCTCGGGCCTTTCCGGGCCTGACCGCGGAGACTGGCAGGAGCTAGAGGGCCCGGGCTGGAGTGGGTCCGCGCCTGGGCGCCTCCGCCTGAGTTTGTTTCGGGGCCCCTGGAGCTGGGTTGTCAGGGAGTGAGGCTGTGGCGCGGCACTGCTCAGGCCAGGAAGCTCTCAGGGGTCCAAGGTGGGCTTAGGAGACCCTCTGAAGCCCAGAGCCGGCCCCTGAGCTGGAGGAGGCGCAGGGAGCAATGGCGAGGCAGTAAGGGTCCCCAAGAGGGGAGCCCCGTCAGGACTCCTTCCACATTCCAGGGGAACAGAATCAGATGCAGGGGCCAAGGTCGAGCTGAACCTCGACCGTCAGTCTCCCCTAAGTCAGGTTTCAGCGTCTGCGTCCACAGACACTTGCTCGGGTTATCTCCGTCCCGGGCCCGTCGATAGCAAAAAACCTCTCTTTTCCGGGGCCCCCAATTTCCTCGAGGCACCACTCTCGCTCCCAGCACTTAGGTTCTTAGAGAACCTGGCAGTTCTCCCCGACTCCCGGGCCAGCTGGAGCCGCAGGATGGGGAAGGAGGCCCGGGACCGGTGGGGAGTGGGAGGGACCGGCCGGCGGGAAGGGGGTTTCATCCAGGCTGTGGGCGCTCGCGGTTCCCTACTTATTTATTTATTTATTTATTTTTCGACGGTTCCTGGGAGAGGTTGGCCGCGGGGGCTGGGAGGTGGAGAGAGGGAGGGAGGGAGGAGGGTTGAGCGCCTGGCGCTCGGGAGAGCTGACCAGAGCGGGCGGGCTGGCGTCCAGGCTCCGCCGGCCCCGCCATCCCCGAGAGCAGGAGACCCCTCCGGGGCCGGAGTCGCCATGCAACGTAAGGCCAGGGTCGCGGGCGCGGCGCGGGGTGGGCTGGGGCGGCTTTTGCCTGACGCGGGCTCCGGCGGTGCGTTGCGGCCGAGGCGCTGTCCGGTCGGAGGTGCTGAATCCGCGCTGCGCGGGCCTGTCCGGCCACCCCGCTCGCTCTATGCCGTGTCCTTGCCTCCCTGCGGTCGCTGCGCACGTTGGGGACCCCGGGCGCGCCGCGGCGTTTCTTGAACGCTCCTCACCCGGAGCTGCGATTTTGCTGGATGCGGGGCGCATTCATCACGGGTTTCCCGCTACTGCGGGGGGCGGTGGAGCCCAGTTTTCTCCGCCAGAGGTCGAGGGAGCCCCTTCCCATTTTCTCTCAAACACCGGGAGACGGGCTGGAGTCGGTGGGATCCACAGCCAGGGAGGTAGGTGCAATGTTAGGAGGTCCCAACCCCTCCGCCGGGCATCCCCCTCTTCCAGAGACTTTCTCTAAGTGTAGAGGGAGTCCTTAGCCCTTGGCACCTAAAAAAGCCACTCCTGGA